AATTATGTATATCATCAGCTTGGCGGATTATTCAAAAGTAAAGTTGGGTCGAACATATTCTTATGATTATTTTCTTACCCCTTATTTCAGTTTAGTTCAGTTGCTAATTTACCCAAGTGATCCCTTCAAAAAATCTTTATATTTACGAATAATAGTAAGGTCCTTGTTATTCAAGTAACTTAGAATAGGCTAATTTACTTTTGCAATGATTAGTAAATTTTCATGCACTTGAGAATGAGCTTTACTAATGAACTGTCAGAGTTTTCATTAAAATAAATTTTAAAGAATATGTAACATGATAATATGGTAGTAATCAAAGAATTATGAAGGCGAGGTATGTAGTTGTATGCATTTCTTTACTCCTTATTAACTATACACAGCCACTCTCTTGATTAGCATTAATTCTACCTAAACTCTATTCAACCCGTCGTTACCTAAATTTTCCAAGGTTGTCAATTATTAATATTTATGAATGGTGCGTTACTGTAATCTGCAACGAAAAATATAAGATAGGGCTTGATTCTTTCATGTCTAAATTATATTATCCCCCTGGATAGACTGTTGAATTGATCTGCTCTGTTAAGTATCTTCAGCAGGACTAGAATCGTAGCTATGTGTGCTAATAGGTGCCCATGTTCTCCAGTAAGTTGTGCCATATTAGCCCAAATTAAATGCAAAGTAGACATGAATTTCAAGTCAAAGCAATCGTCTCTTAATTGATACGCTTAATGAGGAAGTTTGGGCGAACGAGCAAACTTTTATCTCCCATTATTCTTAAAACTTGTCTGACAACTTTGGGTCGACGTTAGACAAAAACGGATATTTTCTTCATTTATTCGTTGAAGAATTCTCCATCTGTCAAATAAAACACCAAGTCTCTAAAACAATCAGACTGCTGCTATCCTTAAATTGCATTTACCAGAATAAGACACTGTTAATCCTTCACAGCTTTCTGCAAAGACTTGAGAGATGTTAAGCTAGTTGCATAGTTTTTATTGCTCATCTCCGTTCCTTTTGAGCGAAATTTTGCTTATCCCGTATTCGGCTGCTACCGCCCCCCTTCACATTCAATAATCAGAGTCTACCTTTTTTTCCATATCTTTGTCCGTAATAATTTCCGCTTATCGGTTTGATGGATCACCCATTATTTCTTCGGCGCCTATATTTGGCGACCAAGATGACGTTGCTCCCAGTCTACTTTTGTCTTGGACACTAAATTTATTCTTTTAGAATTTTAGTTGTTACTGATATATATTTTATGAGGACAATGTATAAGGCGTTGAAAGACTGGTAGTTGAATTTTCCCACAATTATATGAGTAGAGCTGACTGGTAGTCTCGAAACTCTGCTTATATACGAAAAATGATATACATTTTATTAAGCCCACCTCTTACTTCGTCCCCTACAAAGCTTGTTATTATTAGCAAAGAAACACATATAACTAAAGTAATAATTCACTTTTACGAGTTGTAGTTAAGCCCATTTTAGGGCTTTCTCATTAAAGGGGCCCACTCTATAGCATACCTATCAGAATATACCTGGCCAAACATAGGATGTTTAAAAGGGAAATGACGACAAAGTACAACATGTTGCTGTCTCGAGAGTTTTGCATTCATCACCACGATCAAGTTATGAAAATTAGACTTTCATGAGTTAAACGCTCATTTATTTGTCTTAGTTGCCGACATCACAGCCAGCATCTCCGAATGAGAGCTTTTTGGTGATGATGATGATCTGGGTCACATAACGCTAACGCCGTTTTGGTTACGAGTAGGTTCTGGCCCTCATTGTCGAATGTACCACTTATATCTCATAACTGTGGTGTTTTACAACTACAGTTATCCAAAGTCTGTAGAAGAAAAGTAAACTGTTAGTATTACCTTGTTATCAGTCAAACGGTGTAAGTAACCTTGGAGCTCTAAAGGCACCATAAAGTTAAAGAGTTATCCATGCTTCTTCTTCCCCCGTAGCAGTGCATTACATTTTGTAAAAAATCCCTTGCCTAATTTGATGGGATGTTTCTTGTCGATATTTTAACCATCTTTACCTTCTCTTCTCTAAAAAAAGCGATCAGCCCGGTGGATCACTTGTATGCCATATATCAAATTACAGTATCGACGACTGATCTAAGGAATAATATATCCACGGATGTGCGATAGACACAGACTTGGAATTGTCCTGATGTCTAGGCTGCATATTAAGGAGAAGGGCACGTGTTTTCATTTATGCTATTACCTAGTGACTCGTAAAACATCCTGTCCTAGTGCTGCCTAAGGCCTCCACTGTCCACATACAAGGAGAGTATATAGCTAGACTAAGCTGCTCAAGACGCCGCCCAAGTTAGTTTCCTTATCCACCCAAGGAAAAACGGTAGAGCAGATGAGGACAGGGAGTAAAGGAAATTTGCATGCCAATCTTCTCAAAGAGGGACTGGTTTTTCGACTGAACAGGACAATATATGTAAAAGGAGTGTCCACCTGAGGACAAGAGGTTAAGTGTCCTCTGACTTTATTTGGAGACCTGTAATCTAAGAGTTGGAGAAGGTTAAAATTTCTTATACTATCACGATAGGTATCCAAATGAGTACGTTGAGAATGTCTGCCAGAAGTACAGATATTTATTTTAGCATGTAAGTAGAGTTTCAAGACTACCAGTAAATCAGTAATATGAGATTTATTCACCCTATTTCGTTGCAATATGGCCGAGTGGTTAACGTGTCAAGCTCACATGCTGCACTGTCACAGTTCCACTTCCGCTGTGAGGTCGAAACTGCAGGCCATCCTGGATGATAACAACTTTTGTGAAAGCAAGGCTGTGATATTCAATGGAAACGTCAGCTCTATTCATATTATTGTGGGAAAATTCTACTACCAGTCCTTCATCCCCTTAAACGAAATAGGGTGAATACATCTCATGGTACAGATACTGCCAATGCGAAAAAGAGACCTGAGTAGAGTAGTTAGACTTGATTATAATGCACCTTGGTGACCAGCTGAATGTTTGTGACTATATGAGCTTCTGTTTAGGGGAAAAAGAGCACTACTGGTGTGAAGCAGGCTTGGGAAGAAGCAAAAACTTGGACGCCGACAATGATAATGACGCAACTAGGATGAGCTGAAGAAGAGTTGAACGAGGTGGCCGATAGCTCTCGAGCCCATTGTTTGATAAGCTCCTTGACTGGAAGTTTAAGAATACTGATTAGAGAGCCAACAAGATGGCGTATCGGCTCAGACAGTTGGATACTCGGCATTATCTGGAGCGGATTGTAAAATATTCCGAGATCGTTTAATTGTGGTGATAAAACCCATACATGAGTGGGAAATTCCGAGTCAAGTAAGCAAAGGATCAGAAAGAGTGAGGATAAAAATTGCAGAGTTTACGGCTCTGGCCTGATGCACGGCCTCCTGAGCGAAAGATATCCCGTATAAGTATATGAGAAAAAGGTGTGTTCTGAAGAATTCTCAAATAATTTACTGTGACTCGACAATTCTTTTTCGAGGAAAAGTGGGATGGAGGGGATTCGTGAATCAGCTTCACCGAAAATCGAGGGAGGATTGTATTGGAGGGAAGATCCTCAAATCGTGCGAAGAAGTCATCCGCTTACTGCCTTGCTGAGCCTCATTTGCCATGTGACAGATAGCGTGAAAGCAGGAAAAGATAATTCACAAAAAACTGCAAAGCCACACTAATGGGCTTACTTTCTAGCTTCTTTTCCAATTGTAAATATAGGGTCAAAGTAGAAGTTATGATGTCGATGATCATTAGCAATCTGTCTCTGGTTGACGTAAAGGATTGGAACAAGGATATCGATAGATTGAAGGATATATTAATCCGGAACACAATTTTTTCCTAGGATTAAGAGATAATACTTTTGCAATACTTAAAAATAGAATAAGGAGAATTAGTTGTTTATAGCAGGATAAGCAGACAGACTGATCTACACGTCTCCTGATGGTGCCGTTGTCAGCTTTCAAAAAAGTGGGTGAACTAGAAAATAAGTGGAAAATAACAGTATATAAAGAGAATCTAACACAATCCTCATATATACCTTCTTTTCGAGAATTTCCGTACTCTTTTCATTGTTATAAGGTTTTATGCTTATGTGATAATGCCCATGATGAGGAGACGCGCCCACCCATCCAGGAGAGATTATCTAAACACAAAAACTTCCTTTAATGTAGATGGATTCAAGAATATGAATTGGCTAAACATTTGACTATTAAATGAAAAGAAATAGAATGGTCCACATTAAAAGGTTTTGAAGGC